ACCGCCACCACCACCCCCTACGTCCGCTACCACCAGCCCTGCTGGGAGTATTTTTTGGGGCTGAGGACTTTTGTTCAAAAATTAGATAAGTCACCGGGACATATCTGCAGTTTCCTAATTTTTAATATAATTGCACTTTAGTATGTGAGACAATTATGTAATTTATTAAAAGTTCAATACCTGCACAATAATGATTAAAAAATGCATGATATTGAGTGAGAACATGCACATGAAAAATCTCATCATATATTTACGAAATCATAGAATTGCCACATCCCATACATTCAAAGTTCACAAATTTATCAAAATATCACTGCGCTCAGGGTTGTTCATCTGTCAATTCGGTTGAACTGACCGATCGAAATGTCAAAACCGATAACCAAACTGACATATAAAAGAAGAATCGAAAATTTTATATTTCTTGATTTCGGTTGGTTTTTTTGGTTTTGGTTGAATATTACGCACCCCTAAATGCGATACAGAATGCACAATCACGACAAATAAAATACACATTAATGCTTATGATAAATGTACAGTAACATAACAGTGTACTTTTGATTTTTCATGTGGGGTCATTTGCGTAGAATACAATGTTAATGTGCATTCTTGAAATCATTAATTAACTTCCATTTAGTTTAATACTATTGCGTATTATGGGAAAAATTTCAAAATTGGTCCTATAACTTGGCCACTGTCCAAAAAACCACCCTTATATTGACCACTTTCAATTTAGGTCCTATAATTTATCAATTTCATCAATTTTGGTCCTTTTTATCCGGACCCTGGATTAAAAAGTGACGTGTCATTTTTTTAAGGTTACATGGCGTGATTATGATCTACGTGACAATTTTGGTCCTATAATTTGTCGATTTCATCAATTTTGGTCCTTTTTTCATGCCACGTCACTTTTTAATCCAGGGTACGGATAAAAAAGGACCAAAATTGATGAAATCGACAAATTATAGGATCTAAATTGAAAGTGGTCAATATATGGGTGGATTTTTGGACAATGGCCAAATTATAGGACCAATTTTAAATTTTTGCCGCGTATTATGCGTTACCCGTATTTGTAATATGCATAACACATATTGTGCATTTTGCTTACCATTAATATGCATTTAGTGCTTTCTTTATAAATTACAAATTTGCACCATGAACTAAATTAAATATAACTGAAATTCATTAAACTTGCAATTAGGCCATTAACATTATCTAATTTTAAAAAATAAATAAATAAATTATCATCTTCATATTAGGTTTCCTCTGGGCCTCCAGCAGGGGCGTGTGTTAGGTTTGGCGGCGGGGGAGAATGTGAAGGTGAGAGAGGGGGCAGAGAAGATAAAGAGGAGTTAGACGAGGCAGGCTCGGCCCGTTGACCGTGCTTCGGCGGCAATGAGGGTACGAGAAAGAATTTTGGGGAGAAGTGTTTATTGTGTTTTTGTGTGTTTTTCTATGTGCTTTTGTGTGCTTTCGAGTCGATTCTAGGATTGTTTTAGGGTTGGCCGGTCCATTTTGTCGTTCTCCGTGTGTTTTTTATGCTTTCTTTTTTTTTATTTTATATTTTGGCGTACTTTTCCGTGTTTTTCGGTTATTAATTTCAGGGTTATTCCGGAGATCGAGAGAGAGAGAGAGAGTCGAACTATGTTATGAGAGAGTCGAGCCACATTTAGTGAGTCCGAGCCAAAGTTTCTTTTGCACCATCGCGTGCCCGCCGGCGTTTCCTCGAGCTCGAGAGTGCTCATTTCTCACCATTGCACACGGCGCGTGCCCGCCACCATTTCCTCGAGGTCGAG